CTGAGTAAATGCAATAATGAGCAGCACTTTTCGTTTTTACTGTACCTCCCATATTTGTTCCGAGTCAGCACTTTTAGAAGGTGTGGGTTCACTTTTTATTTTTATTCCAACAGTCCTAGAATCGAGTCCTAGTATTTACCCCTGCTTTAAGAGAGAACATTTCACAAACTATGTCAAAGTGTATTTCTTACAAATAATTTGGCCTTAATGTGTATAACTAACGAATAGATTTGATCATTTCCAACTGCCACGGTCAATTTTTTTAAATGTGTTGACTATAGTACTAACATTTGAAACTTTTCTTTGCACATCTCTGAACTGACTTTTTCTGAAATCTATTCAAAAGCAATTTCTCCTCTATGGCCTTTCCGAAGATCTTTTTTCAGATCACTTGATCACCGACCCACTTTTTCTCGATGTAAGTTAGTGTGCACAGAAATAACATAACATAACATAACATACAGCTTATGAAAAAAACAAAACAAGTTAAGATCGACAGCTTTACCTTTAGTTGAGGAACAAAAGAAATCTACAAATATTATATTTGCATAGGGGAAGGAAACAACGTTTGAAAAGCAGAACGATTGCAAATTGAAGGGTGGTTGCCCAGTGTGTTTTGTTGGCTTACTCAGACATAAAGTTTACCGTATATTACAATGTGCAACCTTCATGCTTTACGTTAGGGATCCCACACCTTCCATAAACAGTCCCAATAAAGCTTTACCATCTGCTCCCGCGGTTTTTCACTCCTGGGAGTGTTTCCACAGCACAAGGTTAAATGTCCTTTTAGTGTACTTTGACTCTCCTGGTCCTCCAGTGGCCCTACAGGAAGGACATCAGACTCAGACCTGTTAGTCACTGACGGTAAAGGGGGGTGTTAGTGGTGAGAAAAGGTGTTGGAGGCCAAACCCAGATCCAATGTTATTACGTTGATGTTTTTTTGGAATGGGTGTTGGTGTTTACTAAATTATGCAGAACTCGAAAAAATTATGGTGCACAAAGACAAAAATGGAATGAGCCATGCTGGCAGTCTTCGCAGACATCCCAGACAAACATTTTGAAGAGTTCACTGTATTGATTTAAAGACACCGAAAGCCTCAGGGCTAGTCGCTGAAAGGGAAAAAACGTAGTGAATCTTCCGAATAAGAAGGTCAGGTGACACTGTTGTGTTAGATTTATACACACATACACACACAACCATCATGATTCAACCATTGTTTATCCTTTTAAGATTCAACAGGCTTTAATTTAATTTACAGTTATTTGTGGTACTTGTTATTCATCCAAGAGAAGAAGAAACTGGGAATACACAGCTAGTAGATTTTGGAGAACTGTAGGGTGGTTAAAAGAGTGGTGTCCAGCCGTGTCGGCCTTTTGGTTATGCTTATCACTTAAAAGCACTTAAAAGTAATTTTCTCAACATTCGACAGTGCGCCTTATAACCCGATGCGCTTATGTATTACTTCAGGTTGCGCTTTTACTGACCTCGAACCGATTTTATAAAGCCAAACCACACAGCGCATCACACATGATGGCACACAACTGAAGCTAATGGGAGCTAACTCTGTTATCACAATTACCCAAATTCGTGCAACGTCGCGTCTTGCCTCCCAACACCCGGAGACTCTATGTTGTGTTTTTGTATTGTCGATGTATGGTGCTATGCAGGACGAGTCAAGACACATGGCTGTCGATTTTTTTCGTGCTCAAGAATTCTTTTTATTTCTCATTTTTTAATTGCGATGTAGGCAAAACACAAACTCTCTCTACAAAACAGCCGCACTTCCACACGTAACAGCGTCAAAACAACAATACGGCGACCATCCAGAACAAAAATAGTGACAACCGCCTGACTGTGGAGGGGCGAACAACAACAACAGCGTCCTCCAGTGTCCAACTTAGGTCACTACTTTTCCACAAATCTCTATCAGTCTCTATTGATCCGCGATGATCGCTGACTGTTTTGTTTCGCTTAATGCACCTTATAACCTGGTGCGCCTTATGTATGGAATTAGACCTGTTCATTGATATTGCGCCTCATGGTCCGAAAAATACGGTAATATGTTGATTGTCTGTGTAGGTTCTCAGTCATCCAGGT